AGGCAATTTTACCTGCAATCCTCCAAGTCTCGGGCTAGCATTCCCAGGCTCTACATCCAACGTGGTATTACTATCTTACCACCTTAGCTGCTGCGGTTATTCCTCAGGTTCTGATATCCTCAGCAACCTTAATGTACACTTGCATTCTGGCTATTTGCTGTCCTTCCGTCAATTAACTATTCTTATCTTTTTCGTTCATCACTCCTCTCATCTGGTTAGTACACAGACGCCCGTCAGCTTCTCATTTATGCGTGTTCATTCTCACTTACTCGCTTCTATGTTTGCGACACTTACCCAATCGTGAGTCCACCAGACACACTGGCTTTTCCTGACTCGGCATATTCTGCGCTTCCTATCCAAGTAGGTTGGCTACCTGCTGATCATTTAATTCTGCTTTCTGTCTTCCCACGCAATTGTTGTATCATAGCAAACCGATACTGCATTTTCTGCTCAGTGGCGCAACTCTCTGTATCCCATGTACTTACTCGCTTCAATTTTTGCGACTTTTACCCATGTATGAGTCCAACAGACACACTGGCTATTCGTGGATCAGCATACCATAAGACTACTTTCTTAGCACCCTAGCATAGCAAGTTTCCCTGCGCAACGATACGTATACATTTGTTCCGCAACTTCGCTTTCTTTTATCTGGTTTTTGTTACTTCAATTCTATCGATCAATTCTTTCGCACCTAGTGTTCTGTGTCCGTCTTTGCAGCATAGGTTTAGACACTTACTTATGTAGGAAGTAAGCTCTCTAGCAGGCTTTTCCCATCTCAGCCGGCCACCGCACTATATCTTTATACCCACGTGTCGTCTTTCTGGCTTGATCCCTAGAACCTTTTTGCTCAGCACTTGAATCCTATCTATCCGCTGACTTACCAACATTTGACCTTTGAAGCTATTTCCTCACAAGCCATTTATACCTTCACTTACTTTTGCTGCGCTCCCTATCGAAGTAGGTTGGAGACCTGCTGGTCATTAAATTCTGCTTTCTATCTTTCCACACAATAGTTGCATCATAGCAAACCGATACTGCATTTTCTGCTCAATGGCGCGACGCTCAGTATCCCATGTAGATGGTAGCAACCAACCTATACGGCCATTGTTTTCGTAGAACTTTCAAACGACACTTCCAGCACAATCATTGTTGCACGCTGTACAACAATTTTTTTCACTAAATGTTATACCATAGGACTTAAACGACGTTTGTTCCCACGCCTGTTCTTTGCGGCCTTGTCTGCCCCTAACCTTCCCTTTTCTCATAGATCCGGCACTTCTTGGTGATCTAGAATTGGACCAATAGAGCTTTTGCCCGGGACAGGACATAACACACACGGACCTTCAATGAACATGGCTGTATAGCAAATGGATACAAATGCACTCACTACCACGACCCTGGTAGCACATGTCCAGCTCCTGTCCAGTTTAGCATCCTAAAGGTTCCTATGAGAACATTAGGCTAAACTGGACAGGAACTACTATCATGAGACGGCTAAAAGGGATTTTGTCCAGTTTACGGAGGGCCACTGAAAATGATGCTAGCGTTGACCAATAGAAAATCACCACTATGCGTGAAAATCCGGTAGGTCCAGATACCCCATTGCCTACCCTGGGTATCCGAATACGGACAGTCTATTTCTATGCACTTAGCAGCTGACTAATATATGGGCGGTTCGGAGCTAACGTTCACCCAGTACCTGTTGCCATAGTTGCTGGACGTGGAAACCCACCTAGGCGGCGCTTCAAGCTGTTGGTCAGGAAACGAGATGGATCTTACCGCGCACCTGAGAACATCACAAGGCGACAGAAAATAAAAACCGGGGTATAAGAATGCTATATGTACATGAAGAGGTGTAGTACAAAGATCGTTAGTATCAGAAAGCTGTATTGTCCATATGGTTAATCCGCTTCAGCGAGTGTCAAGGTAGGAGGCTAAAGTTGTGCATAAGGAAGCAGGGGACTCACCTCATCCGCACTGCATATTTTACTTCGCTCAACAGGCGGTCTCTTGTGACGTGCGGAATGCAACCACGTTTTGATGTGGCGCGTAATGCCAGCATCGGAGGCTGCATCACCCGTGCATTGCCGAATCATGCCTTGATAATGTTTATGGATTACTGTGTGTCAACTTACCTTGTACAAGGCCGTTCATATTTGTTCGTCTGAATGCAAACAAACCTCCTGCGCCGGAGTAATTCATCTCCGCGACAACTAATCTTATCAATAGCCGCTCCATGGTACCCCGGACGACGATTTACATGTTAGCACCGTGCACAGCACACAAATGGTTGACCTGAAAGTCTTTTAATAATAAGACGAACTTACGACTCTGTTTTTAAAATCTGTGTCCTTCAGCCGTTCATCATATCTCTTAAGCTCACCGAGAGAGATGAATGGCAGAGAAAGTCCCGGTGCAACACTTTGGGACTGTCGTTGCAGCAGCTGTAACAGTGCTTCGGACATGCGGCGATGGCCGACCAGTTCTGATCATCTAAAAATAAAGCTGAGTGCAATGCATTTGTGACGTGTTACCGTTGATGGCCTTCAGTTCCTGCAGCACCTCCAGATTGCATGGTGCAACGTCAGCAACTACAGCGGGTGCGATTACTATTTATCTGATAACTTTATAGACGTGACATGCTGAAAATGAACGCATATGTATTACACAATCTATAATAGGAAAACCGGATAGGTGCGCCTGCGGAAACGCAATTTCAAGGGAGCTACACAATAGTACAAAACCAAGCGGTATCAGCGACCAGGGTTACAAAACCGAAACTGGCCAAATAAAACGAACTGTAGATGCATGTAAACCACTGGAGTTATGGTCAAATAATATCAAATATAATGCATACCAACTATTAATTTATTAACAAATGTCAAACTAAATGCCTTCAGCTGCTAGTAATGCATTAATGCCTGAACTGGATATCTGTCCAGTTTCCGCCCAGTTTGCTACGTTTACTGTTACGTTTGTGCTACCAGGGGACCGTTGTCCAGTAATGATGGTTGGACGCGAGGCCTTCACACTCCTGAAAAGTATACATAAACCTGCAAAATCCAGACGCTAGTAACTGACGTTTTGCTCACCTGGACAATCACAAAATGACTCTTCGTGAAGGTCTCACAAGTCATGTGCCTCAGCCATTATGGCCGCCCCGACCGAAGCTACCTGATCAGCCAACAAAGGAAACTGCAAGTCAATTGACTGTGGATAACCGACGGCGAAATCAGTCGGCGTGCTGCTCTGCCAGTTTTACATTAGTGTACAAACGGATTTCTGACAGTGTTCCAGAACGTGGTGGGTTTTCGCCTAGCAAGCGTTCCCTAAATAAAAGCTACAAATGTCCGCTTAACAACACTGCGACTTGGCGGATGTGACTCGCTACTGAATAAAGTCACTGCCCACAACTACCTACTGGCAAGTCGACTAGAATCGTAATTTAATATTTTCCTGACACGTTCAAGAGTAAGATACTCCCTGCCTACATGTAACGTTTTCACTACGCATGTAAGGCCCAGACTGTTTACACTACTCACGCTAGAATCCAACGTGTCGTCATGCTTTGACGACTTTATTCCGTATGATTAATTTTACAATTTCCAAGGCCTGTACAACTTTCAGCTTACTGCCGATTACATACATAGCAACGTGTTTGTTGCGAAACATAATTGCATGTAAATATTGATCATGCCTGGCTTAGTGTGTCTCGACAAATTCGAGAACATGCTTTTTATTTATTTATTGCTCCCAAAACGCCTGGCTAGGCGTTGGCGACAAGAACGTCTAGATTTATTCGGTGGACGAGGACCGTGGACTGGAGTGCGGTGCGGGGTGTGACATTGTTCAAGCGCACCGTCGGGTCTGCAGCAGAGGAAATGTCCCGTCGGCATTTTCTCTGGACTAGCCAGTTTTGTTTGCAATCCGACCAGCCCGCCCCGACGGCCCACCGGTCCATACGACCATCATAAATAATTAATAGCAAAAACCTGGACCCATCGAACCCCGCGACACACTCAATCATGGAAGCCCGTGTTCTAGCCCATGCAACTACTCGCACCCATCCTCGCCGCCCGTTTTTCACCACTAACAGCAACATCAAAAGCTTCTACGCTTTAGCCTTCTAATAGGTCTTTGTCAGGTATCTGAGAGGACGCTCTTGCATCGTCGCAACGTTGGATTTTACTCTTGTTGTAACCTCCTAAACGTCCACCTGTTTTACTGATGGCACTTCCATTGACAAGAACTGTTTCGGTGAGTATCTTGCTTCACCATTTCTTACCCTGGTTGATTAGCCCTCTATTTTGTAGCCTGCACAATACACGTTTGTTTCAGTCGCCTCTAACTTCTGTACTGTCCCGTGTATAATACGTCTTTACGTGGCATTGATTATGGGTTAGTGGCCCAGGCGCCAACCAACACACCTCCAGAAAGTGTCTCCAAACGATATGCCGTTGCGCAAAGGAACCGTCAACATATGAATCAAATCACGGAGGAGTTAAGCTAAAATTGATTTAACGCCACAACCAGTTTAATCACAACATCACCGCGGAGAAACAATTTGCCAATCTATCCAAGTTAATAAGTTTGTCTGCCCTTACCTTTCCCTATTTTTTGCCCTAGGAAGCTCGTTAGGCTTTTAGTCACATTCGTTCGGTCTCCCTCAAAGGTCACTCACTAATTTAAGTTAAGAATAACATACTGCTAACTTGTGTATGCTTAAAGAATGGCTTCGTCCAGTTGCATTATGTCTCGCTTAACATATAAATAATTAAGTCTTGGCATTTTTCACCTTTTGCCACTGCATTCATTTGCTTTTTTCCTTCGTTTAACCTAATGTTCCGGCTCTGTTTAAATATTTGTCGGGAGACTGGCTTGTCTGCTTTTATCATCTGGAGAAGGAAAATGAAAACACGTTTCTGTAAGCTGTCTCGTGACTGGCAAACACAAAGTCACACGAGACAAAGTGCAACCTAGCACTCACATTGCGGGCGCTTTGTAGTGCCAATGGTCGAACTCTTTTTGACCTTCTCTTTTTTTCCCTTTCAGATCGGCGGCCTGACAACCAAGCAAGACATTTGGACTGTTTATCAGATGACAATGACTTTAAAGAATAATAGTAATTATTATTGTTGTACTTCCTATTCCGGTTTGTGTACAGTTAATCTCTTTTTGTTTGAATTACCTGAATTTTGGACTCTTGCCAATTACAAGCTGCCGAGTGCACGTTGTGTTTTGCCCTGACTTATCTCGTGCGCTGTGATCACTGTGACGCGTGCTGCCATCGTTATCAGTTCTTCCCTGCGTTTTTCAGCCATTGACGATCTTTTGTGCCCCCTGGATTATTGTGCATTACATAATTGGTGACAGAGGTGGGATATCGTCATGGCCTCCCGCGCAACTAAACCGAAGAACGAGGAACACGGTGTTTCTGCTGCACATCCGTCAAATTGTGGACAGCCACCGTTGGAACTGGGCCTTTGGCAGCTGTCTCTCCGTCCCCCACCGGTTTTTGATGTTGACACTAACCTATGCAACTGGCGGCGACGGGTAGAAATGTCTCTATCTTGCGTTCCCGAAGAACACAAATCGTCGGTTATCATGAATTCACTCAGTGATCGAGTGCAGGAAATTTTGTTATCGACTGACATTCGCCCTGATGCCTCTGTCGCAGAAATCTGGAATCAACTGGAGGCCCTTTTTCCAGACAAGGAGCACTGGTCGGCTACTCGATCCATATTCTGGAAGAGGTTTCGGCGAGAAGCAGAGTCGGCCGATGCCTTTTTGTGGGACCTTCGGGTGCTATCGACCAAGGCATTTCCAGGGAAATCAGTAACAGAAAGAGAGGCCTTCATCTTAGAGCGGTTTATTGAAGGCATCAACGACGATCGCACTTCGGAGCGTTTTATACGAGAGCCGCCGAGAGACTTAGCGACCGCGGCGCGGCTTGCGCGCGAAGAAGAGGTGATCCGCGATAGGCGTCCGAAGGTCGACAAGCTGATGGCTATTAATTGTGTGCCGCCGACGATGAACCGGACTGAACCGCCCCACAGCCTAAGCTCACCTACTTGCCGTCGTTATTGTCCCAAGTGCCAGAATTCGCCCCATGAGAAGTCAGTACGACGCCCCCGCAATTTCCGAAGGCGCGAACAATCACCGGGAGTACGATTCATTGACGGTGAGTCAGAACTTCCTTGTGTACCTTTGGTGTCTTCTAAGTTCTGTGAATCCCCAACTGTTGTTGTAGTAATCAATGCTCAGCGATTGCATGCCCTCATTGACACCGGTGCAGCGTGTAGCCTTTTAAAATCCTGTTTCTTGTCCCCCACAGTAGTCACTAGTCCCGGGCGTCAGATCAGAGTGGCAAATGGGATGGTTCTGCTTACTCATGGGGTTGCTTCCGTAGATTTGCTGGTCGGTCAAGAGCTTCTTTCTCATGAGTTTTACATAGCTGATCAAATTCCATGGGACGCGATACTGGGGGTTGACTTCTTAAGTCGGTATGCATGCGTCATCGATCTAACCTCCGGAGTTTTGACCTTGCGTGGCAAGCTGCTCCCTCTAAACTTCAAACCTAATAATGGTCATGTGAAAAAGTTTTGTACTCTGGGTGCTAGCACCGTGGATGTTGAAGGTGAGATATCGGAATTGCTTTCGTCTGTTAGCCCTACTGTCGACGGTGATGCTCGGAAACGCCTGGAGAATTTACTGCGTTCACACAAGCACGCGTTCGCGTGGAAAGGTACATCTTTGGGTAGAACGAGCGTACTTAAACATCGGATTGAAACAGGGGATGCTCCACCAATACGGCAAGGGCCCAGGCGTGTCCCACCCCTGTATAGACAGGAATTACAGAAAGTGGTGGATCAGATGTTAAAAGATAATATCATACGTCCTTCGCGATCCCCCTGGGCTGCCCCTATTGTATTAGTCAAAAAGAAAGATGGAACACTGCGCATCTGTGTAGACTATAGGAAACTTAATGATGTTACCCGGAAAGATTCTTTCCCTCTACCTCGGATTGATGACACTCTGGAATCATTGCATGGCGCCACCTGGTTCTCTACTTTGGATCTCGCCTCAGGTTATTGGCAAGTCGAAGTACACCCTATGGACATTGAGAAAACTGCCTTCGTTATACCCACTGGGCTATATGAGTTCCAGACCATGCCGTTTGGGTTGGCAAATGCACCAGCGACTTTCCAGCGACTGATGCACATTGTACTCAGAGATCTGCAGCCAAGCAAATGTCTTGTATACCTGGATGATGTCATAGTTCATGGACGTACGCTCGATGAACATCTCACTAATCTAGAAACAGTGCTGCAGTGCCTTAGTTCCGCAGGATTGAAGTTGAAGCCGTCTAAGTGTGACTTGCTGAAGAGAGAGGTTAAATATCTAGGCCACGTGATCAGCGATTGTGGGATCCGGAGCGATCCGTCGAAAGTACAGGATATCATAAGTTGGCCTATTCCCGAGTCCGTTGAAGAGGTTCGGAGCTTTTTGGGTCTGGCTTCTTACTACAGACGCTTCGTGAAGAACTATGCGGATATGGCAGCACCATTGCACCGACTCACGGAGAAGGGTCGGCCTTTCCACTGGAGCCCGCAATGCCAGGAATCTTTTGATGAGTTACGTCATGCTTTGGCCAGCACCCCAATCCTTGTTTTCCCGGACGTGTCACCTCAAGCTGCCCCATTCATTTTGGACACTGATGCTAGTGAGGTTGGTATCGGAGCTGTGTTATCACAGGTCTCTGGGGATGGTATGGAACGGGTTATCGCTTACGCTAGCCGCAAGTTGACAAAACCAGAGCGAAACTATTGCACTACTAGGAAAGAAATGCTTGCCCTGGTCTCCTTCGTTAAACATTTTCGACATTTCCTGTTGGGTCGACACTTTATAGTCCGCACTGATCATCAGGCGCTCCGGTGGTTGCGGGAATTTCGCGAACCCGAAGGGCAAGTTGCGCGTTGGCAAGAACAACTGCAAGCCTTCGACTTTGAATGTCAACATCGTCCCGGGAAGCAACACAGAAATGCAGACGCCCTGTCTCGCCGGCCGTCTAGGGCACATGGGGATTGTCCGTCGTGTTCAACCTCGAACGTTGCCGTTGTGTCTCTGAACCATTCGGATTCAACAGACTGGGCATCAGCTCACAGTACAGACCCAGAGACCAAGTTGATTTATGAGCGCCTACGACAGGGGAGTGTGAAGCCTACGAAGGCAGAAATGGCTGGATCTAGCTGGGAAGCGCACTGCTTGTGGTCTCTGTGGTCGAAAATTCGGCTATTGGATGGTGTCATGTACTACCAGTTTGGTCCAAATTACCCTAGCAGACTTATCGTCCCACAGTCCATGGTGCAACGGATACTCGAACAGCTACATAGGGAGTTGGGTCATGCGGGACAACGGAAAATGGAGCAAGCAGCAGGTTTGCGTTTTTGGTGGCCTCAACAGCGTCGAGATATTGCGAACTTCTGTAACGCCTGCCATGAGTGCATCCGCTTTAAGCAACCACAAACGATGAACAGGGCCCCCTTACAGCCCATGGTGATTGGATATCCCAACGAAACCGTAGGTGTGGACGTCCTTGGACCCCTGCCTGAAACGCCACGAGGGAATCGGTATATACTTGTTTTGGTCGATTATTTCACCAAATGGTGTGAGGCAATACCAACCCCGTACATTGACGCCAGATCCACAGCTCAGCTCGTGTTTGACCACTGGATTTCACGGTGGGGGGCACCTGAGCAACTTCATTCTGATCGTGGTTCTAATTTCGAAAGCTTGGTAGTGTCTGAACTCTGCCGAATACTAGACATTCGAAAGACTCGGACAACAGCCTACCATCCCCAGGGCAATGGCCAAGTAGAGCGCACGAATCGATCGCTGAAGGCTCTTTTAAAAGCGTTCACGGAGGAACACCGCAGTCGCGATTGGGATATTGCACTTCCACGGTGCCTCCTGTCCTATCGGTCCAGCGTTCACTCGTCTACTGATAATACTCCACACTTCATGGTAACTGGGCGCGAAATGAGATTGCCAATTGATTTGACTGTGCCAACAGCGGCTGCTGATTCGCTCCTTGCCACAGACTATGCCGTTCGTTTACGTCGGGACCTGACCAAAGCTTATTCGCTTGCGCGAGAGCACTTAGGAGCTGCCCGTCGATGTCAAAAGGATTACTATGACCAGAAAGTGCACGGCTGTCCACTTCAACCTGGACAACAAGTCTACCTCCACACTCCGAATCCATCTCAGGGCGTTCCGGCGAAGCTGCACAAGGAGTGGTCCGGTCCATTCGTGGTCGAGGAAGTGTATACTGATTCCACCTGTCGAATTTACAGACAAGGTGAAAACACCGACCGTTCAATTGTTGTCCATTTCAATCGTCTCAAACCGGCAACTCTCAGTACTCATCCCATTTCATCGTCTCAGCGCCCGGTAACCGACACTGACCCACCAGATGCGTTAACAGAAGTGGAAGTAACGACCACAGAGCCCCACGTATCGATTACTAGTTAGGGCGGCGAGGACGACGCCTCTCGAAGAGGGGGATGATGTAGTGCCAATGGTCGAACTCTTTTTGACCTTCTCTTTTTTTCCCTTTCAGATCGGCGGCCTGACAACCAAGCAAGACATTTGGACTGTTTATCAGATGACAATGACTTTAAAGAATAATAGTAATTATTATTGTTGTACTTCCTATTCCGGTTTGTGTACAGTTAATCTCTTTTTGTTTGAATTACCTGAATTTTGGACTCTTGCCAATTACAAGCTGCCGAGTGCACGTTGTGTTTTGCCCTGACTTATCTCGTGCGCTGTGATCACTGTGACGCGTGCTGCCATCGTTATCAGTTCTTCCCTGCGTTTTTCAGCCATTGACGATCTTTTGTGCCCCCTGGATTATTGTGCATTACAGCTGTCAGCGGTGTAGTGACAATGACATTTTACTCCATCAAGCATCACCATCCAGGACTTGTACACATTTTGTTTTACTTTGCACTCATCCAAAGCATATATATACCGGACTGCGTTTTTGAACTTGGTGCGCCATCTTGCCCGCATGTTCCCGACTGTTGCGCTCCGTCGTGATGTAACTCATTGCTTCACCACTTTCTCCCACCGCCCATCAGGCTATATTTACATAGCTATTGTACAGTGCTATTTTCTCAAGACATTCTTTATATCCTGCCGTCTACTGTCTTACTAGGCAACGGATTTCTTGTGTAGCATTCGTCAAGGCGCTACACCGGTCCATTTGGAATTCCACAGTTACAAAGCACATGAAAACCACATGCATGAACTTGACGCTTCTCTACATTTTGATATGGCCCTCTCGGGCTGTCTCTCGCAGACGAGACCTCTTCTTCTGTAGATTTCGAAATTGGTACTGACTCCGCAGTTATCTTGGTACGACACACAGACTGTGACTAACACGACTTGAATGTCCAGGGATCATTGATAGAGGCGCAGTACAGAAAAAGCAAGACGTAGATCGCGAAGAACGCTTGGAGTAAGACAGTTATGCATAGCGTCCGAGAAGACAGGTATAGCGATTTAACAGAATACAAATGAATGTCGCAAGAAAGAAGCCTAGGATAGTTCGTAAATGTTCGCTGCCTCGAGAAGCAAATCTGCGAGGAGTTTGAGCTTCAACGCACTTAGTGTACAGTGCGATAAGTTTGCAGAATACTCTGTTTCAGCAAACAAACGCAACTACTTAAAGCAATGAGTTCCGGTAATGCTGAAGTAATGTCCACAAACGTTATTGTGTATCAACCCTGTGGAGACAGAGTCAAGATACGCCATGAAAAGCCTACCTTATGAGATTTGGAATACACGCAGTATAGTTGCGAAGTAAAAATCGATGTTGGGATCTAAAGCACAGTGCATCGTGGTAACGACAAGCAAGGACAGTATCATATAGGAAATATGTTCAAGACTGCTGGCACTGATCACTACGTGTTAGTTGATTCGCGCGGAGACGACCTTGTAAACGTTGCTTGAAAGCCTCAACTACCAGACCACCGGTAGCTGCGCATGAAGAATGCAATGAGAAACACAAACGAGTTGAGATAGCGACAACTAACTGAGGCGTTTAAGCAACAAGGGCAAGAATAAAACCTCGGAGGTATTTGGCATAACAAATGGTCCAACCCTATCTACTCTCGGAGACATGCGGCGAGGCTGCGGGAACGATGTTTACAGAAGGACTGGGAGGCCACCCCAAGCGTACAACGATGCCGAAAATGATTGGTGAAGCGTACTTTTTATACATTCAATAACCCCTCTGAGTGAAGACGTACACGGGTAAAAAAAATCACAGTTTTTAAGACTAGCCAGTCCATACGCGAAGGATCGCAAAAGCCGTCACATTCCTCAATATTGACAGGAGTCGGATGGAAATTGAGGCACTCCAGCGAGAGAAATGGAAAGAAAAAGTCCATTTACAAGAGAGAGAGAGGATTACTGAAGGTATGATGGGTGAACTGATGATGTTTGTACATAAAGCTGATTGGCTCAAAATGAACAAGTCCTGTCAGAAAAGATTGAAATGGTGCTGATATGCAGAGTAACTCATGTCCACAGAGTGTAAGAAGCAAATATGTGTGTGTGTATCGCGACAGAGGAGTGAAATGCAAGAGGGAGTGTGCATGAAGGCTGAAACAGGCTCTAGGATGTGTGGAAAAAGTGGGGAGGGAATACGAATCTGGTGTCGAGATCAGAAGATAGATGCATGAATGACATGGTAAAGCAGCAACAGCAGCCGCAAGAGAGCCATTGCGCAGTTCAATTAGTAGTGCGGATAGATCCATCTTGGGAATCGGCCAAAAGGGCTGTTTCGTTGCTGGGAGGGGAAGGAAATCCAAGGGAAAAAGAGAAAGTGAATGCACGAGGAAAATGAAAATGGCAACGAAAGAGTGTACAAAGTATACGAAATGACATAATTTGTATCAGTCAAACAGAAAAATGATAGCTATCGCCCTTTTGATAATGACCACTGGTCTAGGGGAGGACGATTTACAGAACAAATGACATGCGGCAGAAGTAATGCAGAAAATCGAACAATAGCAATGAGCGTAGGTGACACATAAGGAATTCTGCCTCTTTTTGTGTGTACTACATAGGTAGGTAGATCATAGTTCGGAAGTGGGACAGACCATGTGTTGACTCGGCGTGGAGTTGACAGCACGATATTGTGCAATGGAACAGCAATGAATTCGACTAGTCCTTGAAAAGGCTGTTGCACCGAACGATTCTCTGACTGCACTGGTCAGCACTCAACTCGGCACTAGACATTATGACCCCGGGAAAAAGTGTATTGACTGTCATCCCAGGCAGTTCATTTTATATGCTTCGCTGTATAAATTGCTCCAGTAAGACTACAACAACTCGCAAAAATTCGTCATGAACCTATTATCTAAAGTCGGCGGTTACTTGAAATTGCGATTGGTTTACCCTTCAACGTGAGACACGGAACAGGAAATGTGTCGATATTGCGGGTAAGTGACAGCTGCCGAGCGGGAGAAAAGTATCACTTCTACGGCGAAGAAGGTACGCCATCTTTGTTGGAGAGTCCTTTAGAAACACTCCGTTGTGTGTGTGAAGAGAAATTGCGACGCACAATTTCATTGAAGTGAACCTTAGCCAATTAGAGCACTGGGACCGTAACCGCTGAAGCAGATGGTATAGGAGATGACGAAAGCGAATAAACTCGAAAATGATGGCGAATTGCGGTGTTTTCGAACAGGCAACACCTAATAACTATCAGCTATATCAATTTTACTTCAGATGCAAGGTTGGTGACGAAGACGAACCGTTGTGGAGAGCCAACCAACCACAGAAATAGTCGTTGTTGTCCCTCGGTCCCTCCTCCTTTGTCCGTTGAAATGATGAGGCGAAAGAGTGGAGAGCATAGTCTGAGTAAACATCCCGTTTGCATTTATACCAGTTAGACATGGTGAGGGACCTTATATTGCAGAGAATTTATCAGAAAATGCTCCTGATTCATCGGATGAAGACAAGGATGAGCTGACCAGTTCTGCTGTTTCAACAGGATAAAGTGATCAAGATTATCATTCCAGTGTAACAGGAACCCCACATGGATTAGCAAAAGAAGTGCTACACGACTCGGCGGAATTGCTAATATCAAGCCTCCAACATTGGAATCTTCAGAAATGAGATAATTAGACCAAAAGCACTAGCGTAAGTTAGTGTGTCTATGTTCCGGTAACGAGGGCATTGTGAATGCCATAAAAATCATTCGACACACAAGAAGGGAGACACTGTATACTTTTTGCAAATCATCTTCAATCTAGCCATCTAACAAGAAGAAAGGGAGATACGATAATTCACAGCAACTACTGAATTCCATCGAGTAGAGTGAGTAAAAGCGACGCCTTAGTGGTGATCTGCGTGCCGAGACCTTTTAAAAAAAGGTGGGAGGGATATATGAAATAAAATGTTGCTTGTGTTAGTGAGATGGTTGAATAAGAGAACTGCGCTATCTGTGGGATAGCGGATAAAATACAACAGGTGGAGAAAGAAGAAAGTCTGGCATCCAGTACTGGTTGAGATCCACATAACACTGTTATCACTCTTTCAAAAAATTTGCTTGATGAGGAGATTCGTGAAAGTCACAGATCGGAATTCACCAAAATAACACAAAGAAATAGCAGGAAACATGTCAATGCAATATCAGAAACCAATTTCTCCATTGCCATCCAGAACTGATTCCCCGACAACTGTGTTACGGTCAGTGAGGAACGCGGTAAAGGTTTTCATTGGGTCGCAACAATGGAACAAAAAAGGGCATAACAAATGGTCTAGTGAAATGCCGACCGACTACTGCCGGACATTTCCCAGAGCTGCTCCGAAACGACAGTACAAGAGACAGGCGGAGGATACCGAGAATTAGCTACTATTAACCTATTACTAGTAGTATGTATTTGGTTATGTAAAGATTAATTAATGGTAGATTAAAAAAACTGGCTATTTATGTAACCTAACTACTATTATAGTGCTGGGAACATAGAAACGGATAATAAATAACTAAATTTGTTTTGGAGGCATGACTTGTGGGAGCAGTATGTCAACTAACCCAGAGGATCAGACACCCAACTACTGAGGTGGTTGTGTTCAGATTCTATGGTATTAGCGTACTACTATGTTGAGACTCCATTGGGCAGTGGAGCATAGGATTGAGATTCAAACTTAACAATCAGTCTAGCTAACAAATACCTATAACATTAACCAAGTGATGTTTGATCCATCAGAAACTAAGCGACAAAAGATATCGCTCGCGGTCACATCCATTGAAGAAACGTGTGCCAGTTACTCGAACATGTGAACGCCAAAAATACAATACACACAAGTTTCTGTAGAAAGAGATGCATCGCAAATGTGCACTTTGTGTCCCCGTGAGAAGTTGAATCGCTTTACTTGACTTCCAGATAACTTCACCTGATTCATCTTCCACATGGCTCGGTGCTGGATACTCCGAAATGTTTGTTCGATATCAAGAACATGCATTGGACCTATGTCAATGTGTTGACAACGGAGGAAACTTTGTCGATGCGTATTCGTCGTGGTCTGTCACTTTTGGTTCGTGCTATCCCGATTGGTCCCAGATTGTAGTGGTCAAGCGTACACCACGATGTACGACAATCACAGTGTGAAGAAACCGGCTTGCATAAACAGATGTCAGCCGTATCTCGCTGGCAATTCTATTGTAATTCGATGCCTTAAGTATAGTAGAACGAGTATCCCTCCAGCGCCGAGAACCCGAAGGATGATGGCTTGCGATTATCGGATTCCTCATCTGATCAAGCATGGAGCACAGTAGATCACTGCAGAGAGCTAACTACACAGTGCACCAGAAGACGCCACTATCGTTTAAAGAGGAAGAAAAATAATTACCAATGGCCCGAGATACTAGTTAACACACAGAGGACGATCTCGGAACAAAAGCACTGCTAACCACTCACTGAGAAAGGTTGCTGATGTCCGATGTTGTTGAGGACGACAAACAAAATTCAGACACCTTCAACACCTATGTAGGCTACTCATGAGTAGAAAGATTTGGTGAGGTTTATTTAGTTCATCACGGTTAGATTACAAGCCATATAGGCTAAGTGCAGATCCGAAAAAGCACCAAACGACCGTTTCGTCCTCTTGGGTCGTAGTCGTTTAGTTCACTTTCCGAAATAGGGCGATCAAGCACTTAGGACATTTGAAACACCAAAGATAAATAAACTTACGGAGCGCCGTTGGTCCATTTGTGAAGAGGAGAGTTAGAAGCGCACATCTGCGCTCGATCCTTACGCGCCAGTTTGTTGGAGTTGCGGCGTGCAAGAGGGAAAGGTGGATGAGAGGTCATGATTGAGTTGGGCGGTGCAGACAACGGTGGGTGATTACCTTGAGCTCGGTATAGCTCAGATAATTTGAATTCCAAGTGCTGAGGGAGAAAAACAGAGAAAAAAGAACCGGTGGAGTAGAAGCGGTGGCACATAACGATAAAGACGACGGAAGTGAACGGGGAATGGAGGCAGCAAGTCATCCTAACCTGTAACACCAACCATACCGGCTGTGTAAGTTGTAGATTAACATAGACAAGACAAATGGTACTCCTAGTCGCGCCGAATTCAGATGCAGATGGGAAGGAAGTGAGTCAATGACGCGATCGTTTAAGAACAATTGACGACAGCAAGACAACGCAACAGTAGCAGAATCGTAAGAAGTACCCAGGTCTATAATTAGTGGAGAGATGTGTATAGTTGGTAACCGGAAGTGGACTGTCCAATTCAAACACATCAACAGAGGCAGTAGTATCAGAACAATCCTAAGTGCAATGAGAGTGTTGGTGAAATTAAAATGCGTTCAACTAATTGACGTGAGCTAAAATAAGTTTCAACAAGAAAATAGATGAATTTGCATCGAGCACCGTTTGATGCAGGAATTTCCTGTCGTAAGTGGATAGTGAATCTTGGACACAACGCCGCGCCATTCATGTGAATCCCAGTAACGTTTGGAGAACGAAGGAATTATCTTCACTGTAAGACAGTGTTACATGAACAACGTGGATGTTAGCTCAGATATGTACGTAATGTGGGATGGAACAACGAAATTTGTCGTTGTTTGGGCAGGTTGACGGGCGACAGTACTGCCGTTAGGGAACATCTTGAAAGAAATGTTCAGATATGAAGTAGAAATGACTTGAATAACTACATGTCGTCATATAGCCATTCAAGAGTCAAAACAAAGTATGGGTAACGAACAAAATCTGTTGTTTATAAAGCAAAGCATCAGTTAAACTGTATATAAATGGTTAGGGCGCTACTTGGTCACGACGTTTTCACACTGGTTACTTTCCTTTTGTGGCGTTTGCCGCGGTCTGTCTGTGTTCACTGGTCGGGACGCTCTGCTCGCCTCAACCGATTTCTGCTCCGTCTGCGTTGTCTGTGTCGAGTCATTACTGGACGCCTTAGCTATCCTTTGTTTGCCTGGGCAGCGCACACGCCACGTCCGCTGACGACTGTTACAGCCAATCCGCATCGCCGTTGTTCGGGACATCGCAGTGTTTGTTCCTTCTAGGCTGAGCCGATTCCTCTCTCTGTCTCGTCCGCGCGTGACCAGTTTGCGTCAGAAGCGGCTGACTGGAATCCAGCTTGCCTACAAAACTTTGGCCAGCTTCGCACAAACGAGTAGCTGGTAGCAGACATCCCCGTCAATTTTGTTTCAATAGTGATCCTGCGTGTTTCGATTCTGTGTCTGTGCGTCATAGTAGATCGATTGAAGTAATATGGTTTTCTTACAGTACATGGGAACTGGTACTTAACAGCTGCGCAATATGCGCGAATACAACAGTAAATGTACATTCACTTCGTCTAGCTATTCTTAGATGCTAGCGATTATTCGTTTGATACATATGTATGCGAGAAAACCACCAACTTGATACCCTGAGTTATGACTGTCGTCCTTGTCAGTGCATGTGACGATGAGGGTAGCACTATTGTGCTCCGCGCAACGTCAACGAAATAAACGCTAATCCAGTCAAATGACTCGTTCCAATCGAACGCGAAAAAAATATGCCAAGCTGTTGCCTAAGGTGCGTGTGCTTCGTGGGCTTAAAATAAAGCGAAATGTTGAGCGGAGGCGAACGCAACCACCAAATAAGGGAGCAGAGGCTCATGTACGGATTAGAATGCAAGATATTGACAAACAAATTACTTGGAATGTGAATAATTCGATGGCGGATGACAGACTGGGCGAACAGAACGGACACGGTGTCGGCAGGCAGAACGCCAACGAAGCGAGGCGCACGCGTCAATCGTCCGCAATTGCACGGGTAGGAGGAAAAATGCAGCATTGATTCAGTCCGGTATAAACGAAGCGCAGCATGAGTTCGGGCAGGGAAACAACGGTATAGACAACAACCAGCGAACAGCACACGCGCGTTAACGGATCAAAACTGGCGGCACAGGCGTGATGGCAGCTGGATAGCCGCGAGAACGGAACAGATGTGGAGCCAGTAGACATAAAGCAGGGCAAGTGCCACTGAGAAAAAATATCCTAAACGCAAGGACAGTGAGAAAAATCTGGAAATAGATCGGCTCTGGTGGTATGCACAAGTGGGAAAATCAGGGACAGGGATACACTTGGATGAAGTGAATATGAAGATGGAGATTGTTGGATTCGTCGATCGGTGAGGAGCAGGGCAGATAACAGCGATAAGTATTCACAAGGTCTCCATCGCGAAAAAGCTGGGCCTTAACGTGATGCGATGGTTCGCGTACCACGGTGACTAATAGTTATGATGGGTGGCGCTTTATAAGTGCCTTTAGAGCCACTCCTACCCGATAGATCCATGGTTAGGTGTCAGACTAACTCAGACTCACAGCCCAATCCGCTTCGGAGGTTATGTAGAGGTCGATGGCCCTCTTCTCTTAAAACTTAGAAATGGGAGAAAACAGGTCTACGGGTTACAAGCTCACAGATCGATTGACGTAGAATAGGAGAAGTACGTATTGTCTCTGACGGTGGGAGGGCACCTTCCGGCGCTCAATGGCTTGTTGCCGCCCGCCTCAAGCCAGGCCTCTCCTGGTCAAATTGGTGCAAAGCCGCTAACTCCCACTTGCGACTGGCCGTGGTCGCATGTGCGTAACATAATGCGGTAGTAAAGCACGTGTGCATTGTTCTAAATCTTTAAAGGCTGAGGGTGACAACCTTCAGGTAGATCCGAATAAAATTCAGCTAATTCATCATTGTCACTGCTAATCAGCCGGCATGGGCTAGGCTGGAAAAGCGGAAAGTCCAAGCTCGTGAGACTAGCCACTGTCCTCTGCACAGTTCGTAACTGGCATGGCAGTAGAAGATGAGTCGGGCTATTTCATAGTCGACTGTCGATCACGCAGGTCAGCGGCTGTCACCCATGGCGAAGTGGCAATAGCTGCTGGCATCCTGAAGTCATGGGGGCGGAACCCGGCAGGGGTCCGCTAAGAGGCGCACCACTGACGAGACCCAGAAGGTCGAAACGCCGGCGTCTGGTGCTTTTTCAGACTAGCCTAAGCTTGCTGATTGGGAGTGACGATGATGAATTAGCTGAATTATACAAAAATCCTCACCACTACGCATAAGATCCGAATATGTTTCTATAATCACACTCCCGAGCTGGACATGCGCCTCACTGACTTGTGGGTCAGGCTATTGAGCCAAAGGCTCCGGGTGAGGTCCCACAAGCGAGCCTCCAAATCTCCACTATCTTGTACGTCAGGTTATTAAGCCAAATACTCCGCGTGGAGTCCCTCAAGCACACATTCATATCCACCATATCTATATCCATCTGTTGAGCAACTTACGCTGATCGCGCAGCTGCTGCCATCGATACATATGGCTCTTCTAGCAAACCTAGAGTTTCATTTCACATCGGTTATTTTAAAGTCCGCACTCTGAATACGGTCGGTCAATCTGCACCACTAACTCCCACTATTCACTCACTTAGTATTGATGTGTGCTGTCTTCGGAATCCGCATACAAGATAACAGCTTCGTGACAAATCTTGGACCCCCTGGTTCTGAACGATGGCTACACTCTTCGTGTCTCAGTCGATGGCTCAAGGTATTTACGGTGTTTGTATCTCCCTTAGCAAACATGCTGAAAACAGTCCAGTCTCAATTGGATGCTGGTGAACAATCACATGTGTGCGGTTCGACTTTGAACTACTATTGCGGCTAATAAGTATCGTCAGAGGAAAAGGTGTCTTTCTATCGCCTCCCCTTATGTCCCTATAAACTGCCGCTCGGGGGGGGGGGATTAGAGACGATTCCTGTCACCAACTTTCATCTATTCTTCGCATGGCGAGGAAGACGAACGTTGTGATTGTTGCTGGTGACTTGAAGGCTTAAGTGGGTAGCTTTTCAGATTCTGATCAACACTTGGGAAGTCGCTTCGAGGTCGATGCATGTCAAACAGTCAATGGTGATCGATTCTTACAACTATGTACCAAGCACAATATTTATATTAGCAGCACTGTTTTCCAGCACATTGCATGGCTTGGCGCCTACCAAATAACGCGATGAGCTGGACCCAAATTGACCATATGCCCATCACCTAATGGATGGTGCACACCAGTCTAAGACTGTCGGTTAATTTGGAGCAGGTGCCACGTGACCACGCTATGGTGCGCACACGCCCAGAGTTCACTCTTCCCACTTCAAAAAAGCGCATGGCTTCTAACCTACTTATTCATAGCTTGGACTCACAATTGGCAGTTCAAAAAATCATGACAAACTGGCACATCAGATGTCAATGAGGAATGAAATTGGTGATCCGAACACTGACTAGAACCGTCTCAACTGTGACATGAAGAATGCGTTTGACGCTTGGTATGCACCCAACTTGAGGCATTGTAACTGCGGATGGATCACTGAGGCATCGATCAGTCTAGTAGAAGCACGGAAACAGGTTCGAGAAAACCATCAGTTGGTGAGACAACAGTTGAGAAAGATGGACAGTTGATCCATTCTCAACGCCGCCGACTAGCCCGTTGAGCAGAATCTTGTAAGAGCAGTTCAGCAGGTATGCTACGACCATGCCGCTTGCTGAATCGCCTGAACCGAGGTGAGAAGTAGATGTGGCACCTCATGACATGAGCTTTCCGTGTTGAAACAAAACAAAGCTCCCGGACCCAACGACCGTCCTACAGGTTTTGCTGAAACATGCCGGCGACACCTTGTTAACAGAACTTGCATCTCTGTTTGACACGATTTGGGACAATGAACAGGTGTTTTCGACAGGTTGGCGACTGTCGAATGTCGTATCCATCTACAAGAAGCGTCAGCGCAATTTATGCGAAAATTATCAAGCCATGAGCGTCATTTCAACTGACTCCAAATTTCGCAAGGGTCTCATTATTCGACAACTTACTGGACCTCGTGAGAGCTGAATCGTTGAAAGTCAGGTTGGCTTCAGCCCAGGTCGTGGTTGCATCGACCACATATTTACTCCCCGCTTTAGAGCAGAGACATAATTACACACGACTGACTATGGTGGTTTTCCTTGACTTGAAATGCGCATTCCACTTTGTTGATGGCACCAGATTGTGGCACTGCCTATCCATGAAGGGCGTGCTCGCTAAGCTGGTTGCCATTATGAAATCGCCACCGTGATTTCCGAGGTCAGATAAGGGTCTACGGCCAGCTAGTATTCACTTGGTTGTCATGGCAACCCCAGTCTCAGTAGCCGGATTCCACGCCCTTCGGTGCCCGGGTGGTCGTGACTGAACGAACTAGACTGGAAGTTTAAACCACACTTCGGACCCCAAAGGGTCAGTTGATGACTGGGATAGCAAGAAGCAGTTAGGCGGATTGCAGACATTTGGTTGAGTAGAGTTGGAGCACTTCGAAATAGCCTTGTGGTGTAAATCAAGGGATACGAACCGCCAAACCACGTCGCGAAGGGGACTAGGGACATTGAAGGAGCTAATCTGAGAGATCGTTTTTGTCTCCCGTTAGGTCAAGCATCAATGGATAGAAGATCAAGAGGGCGTACCGAAGCTTCGGTGCCACACAGGCACCATCAGTCTCTAGTAGACTAAGGACACTATGTGGATCGCCCGATCCCATGAGAAGACTCGAACCCGCGACCACCGGGTTACAAGACAGACGCCTTTGGAGAGTTCATGAAGATAATGAGGATTTTCACAATACTCTAAGAGAATGCAACTCTCGATAAGTAATGCCACAGGGAGCAAGTGGTGATATCTTCGTCACGTCAGTCATCAGTTTAGTGACGCACAATCGGTGTTTGAAAGACAAGCGTCTGGTTGAGGCCATGCGTCGAAATGCTGAAATAGGATTCATGTGCTAGCGCGCAGCTGGAATGCAAGCATACGCAGCCACAGGCGGGCCGACTATTTCGTGCTGACTTTTACTACCGATGTGTGTGGTGAAATCTGGTTGAAATGGGTCCACCGTTGTGAGCACTCGTTAAGTGAGAGGGAATGTAGGCGTTGGGAATCTGCACTGCTGACGAAGCGATGACACTATGTGCACGCGCTGCCAAACATGACAATAAGTGGAATTACGATTTAAAAAACGAATGATCAAAAACAGTGAACAAGGCAAGAGCACCAAAGGCTTGGTTGGAAACAGCGCATAACGCCAAAAGTTGGATACAAGTGGCAAGCAAGATGATATCTGCAAAGTAGTTTATAATTGGCTGTTGAACTGTTCGCTGAGGTTGGCAATTTTGTTGCAAACGTTTCGTCACCAATCGAGGTGACATCATCAGTGCGTAGTGGAGTGGCGTGCAATAGCGTAGAGTAGCGTAGAGGAGCCTCGGTGAGAGTGAGACTGTAGTTTATAATCGCCACATCGCTCCAAACGTAACCTTACCTTTAAACACTAAATACTACATCATCAGTACCATTCTATCCAAATGTGATAAACACAAATCAAACACAGATACTCAATCATCAAAAGGTGTTTAATTGTTCTTCTCATTCTCACGGATATAGGATGTCAAGATCAGCAGGTGAACGATCGCTGATGCAAAAGGTAGCGAGAAGCAGGAGTCTTGAATTACGAGATCGGTTTAAACTCAAGTCTACGTTCCAGTACAGTGCACTAAACACTTACTGCTGCTCGAAGCATAGGAGGCGGGTAACTCGCTTCAGATCCGGTACTGATGTCCGCATGCGATGCATGGTGTGCGTAGGTGCAGCAACAGCCTCAGGATTGGAAACCACCGAGATACACTATACGATAGGCTATGATCAGATCAACTCGTACCCGATGAAAACACAAAGCAGGTAGCCTGTCCCGAGCACCGGTCCTCCTACGGCACTCCGTATAAGTCGAGGGTGAGCCTATTACCGAAGTGTTGAACCCGCTCGATCTTCTGCGCCTCACTGCAGATGATTGAACAGCGAGCGAGCCGTACACTAGCATTGGTCTGATGATGGAGGTGAAGAGGTGAGTGGCAACCGCTCAGACAGATACAGTTGCTGCGTTTGAGCACCCAAAACTTGCGAAGTCAGTCACGATGTAGCTTGTCCGAGCTGTTCACGGACTTCAAATCGCAATGGTATTTAACAGAAGGTGTAGAAGGTAAAAGAGGACCGTGAAGGGTGTATATTCGGCCGTCCCTACCATTCTGCAGGTTCATAAATACAGACTGGGATGATTTGACCGGGAGGCAGACTTCGGCAGAGCATATGAAGGCGGTTGAGGTTTTTTAAAGTAGGCTGTAGTCTCCAACCATATTGAGCACTCCTCACCTATTCAGGTCGTCTCCAAACAAGTCACACGATCGAAGAAGCTGGAGTGGATCCGTGCAGTAGGTCGGGAACAAAGCATCCTCCAACACCGCGCCACCGTACCACTGGTCGAGAAATAGTAATCGGTCAGATTGCCGTCGACATGAACCCTGCACTTTGAACAATGAGAAACTTCCGGACCTACTGTTGGGATCATCCACCAACACCGAACGACCTCAGCCGGTGTAGGAGGACCTATTAAGTTAGATGTCTGATGAATCAGTCCAAAGTAGAAAAAGTAATGCGCATTTAGGAAGTAGGAGGCGGAAGAAGCAATGAGAATTTCAGCGAACAGGTAGGTGTACAAGAAATAGTGATTGAACGTGGATTGTATGCAAACATCAACACAACAAGTGAGGTAGCTTCGCACCGTAAGTGCTCATGCAACACCTCCATATGAACTAACAGCAAACATAAAACTAAATTTTGTTCACTAGTCTGTTGAGCCATTAGACCAGAGCACTCAAGCGAGCACTCAAGTGAAGCGAAGAAGTGAACGTTGGTGACGAGTCCTCAAGGGGAGTGAAAATAAAGAGAAAGCCAAATAATGAACGAATTCGACGAACGATCTTTTAACAGATAGCGTGAAAACAGGGAGCATCAAACGACCGCATGCAATATTCAGGGGTGGCGGAGAACGGGCGCATAGGTTAGCACATACCCCAATCTTTTGTAGTGCATCATTTACCATGTTCAGGGCTGCGAGGCGAACGGAAGGCATGAACAAAGAGTTCGAATACACACTGCTTTCTGTCTGGACTAGGCAGTCCTTGCAATCTGGATGGAAACAGACAGAGAGTGATTAAAGATGGTAGAGGTGAGAATTTTTGAGAAAGTTGTAAACGGACCTAACGGGGGTAATCATGCACTGCCAATAGGGATGGGACGAAATCAACCGTGGTAAGAGAGAACACCAACGCGTAGCGGCGGTATTTTTTATACACGTTAGCTAGAGGTGTAAAGCACCTCAGCTATTGTGCCGCAATACATAAAAGAAAAAGAAAATAAATACAACAGTTGCATGCCAGCTGAGTTACCAGCAACGGATAGGCATGGTTCCGGTAAGCTACCAGCCGGCTACTAGGCAAAAAAATTAGTTTTACGCTACGGAATGAGATCGTAAATGGAGGGGGAGGCTAAAAGGGATGGGGAGGGACAAAGAAACTCACAGCACGAAGGCCACTGTGGTTGGCTTCTTGCTATGTCAGCCGTGACGCTCCAACCGAGGCCAGCTCCGAAGTAAGGACCTTCATTCCTCTTGACCAAGTCATCGCTTGGCCACCCCTCCTTTTCTTCTATCCATATCCCCGGTGAGCAAACAAAGCATGTCGTGGAAATCGGTGGGCTGGCATGTGTAACACGCGGCCCAGTCATCGGAGCCTGGTGCGTGAAATGACGGTGCTGAGCAGTTCAATTCCTTTTTCTGTGCCGTAAACAAGGCGTCGAACACGCTCGTTACTCACGCGGTGTTCCCACCAGATGTGAGCCAAATTGCGAAGGCACCGATGGTCAAACGTAACTAACCTCTTTATGTCCGCCGATCTTAGGGGCCAGGTTTCGCAACCGTACAGTAAGGTCGAACGTATCGCTGCATTGTACACTCTACCCTTCAGGGAGAGAGTAATGTCGCGCCGCCGCCATAGGTGGCGAAGGTTAGCAAAAGCAGCTCGAGCTTTTGCTATACAGTTCGTGACCTCGTCTTCGATCCCAATGGCGCTGATCCAACTTCCCAGGTAGTTGAATTTCCGAACGACTTCTAGCTGATCCCCACCAAGGGTCAGCGCAGGAGGCCGTATCGACGGTGCGACAAAACAAATGTAAATGCAAACTCCTCTTTACTGTCGTTTACAGGTATGTCGCGACTAGCTCCCTTTTTACATTTGCGTAGCGACAGTGCGACAAAGCAAATGTAAAAAGGGAGCTAGCCGCGACGAACTTGTAAACGACAGTAAAGAAGAGTTTGAGAACAGGACTCACAGTACCTCACTGCCTGCTCAGTATAGTTCGGTCAAACAACTATGGATCTAGTTACTACGACACGTGTCGGCACGATTAAAATGTGTGTAGCAATGGTGCCAAATGTGATGTTGGCTGAAACCGATGGTGAGTGGAAACGTTATGACACCGGTAAGCAGATGGCCAATCGAACACTAGGCAGCATTTCGCGGAGTACCGAACAGATGCAGCTTAGCCCAAAAGTGAGCACGTCATCAGAAGCAGACTGGTCAACCAAGTAACGAGTGGTCGGCTCACGCCCACGTCGAACTATGCGCGGACAGCCAGCTAACTGAACAAACATCCATGGAGTGTGCGGGGGACCAATCAAGTGCCAGCAGGTCCAAAATGCACAGAACCAATTCAGTTTTGCGAAAGAGCATGTACTCGTGAGAAGCGGATTGCTTTGCCAAGCGGGACTATTCGTGGCCTGTACGCACGAGGCCAAGGGAAGGGGCGTGTGATCAGATGAACGATTGGTTAACCGAGCTAATCGTACAATCCACCAGGAAAGTCAGCAACGCAGCTTGAGGTAATTTTAGACCGGAAGAACGGAAATAGAATTAGTGACATAAGGCGAATAACAAGGGTGAGCCAGTGGAGTCTCGTAAATAGTTCACATACTCTATAAATACCCATGAGTACTCTTAATAAACAACTTTGTAATCGCAGCCCAGTCCTGTTGATTTACCGCGGGCTACTTGACAACAAAATGTGGCAGAACAAACAAAATACGAACAAGACGGAGTTGGGAAAAGTGAGTGGAACTAATCCAGATGAAACGATAACCGTGACGTGAAGAGTCCGAAACAAAAGCGCCACCAACTCCGCGACTGCGCCATGTTTGACAGACTGCAACCACTGATGTGGGCCATCCCGAAGTCCTCCTATACGATGACGGGACATATCATCTTGACCAAGTCTCTTAGTCAATGTCTTCATTTCGGTTTATTAACTGACCACTTCGACGGGTCATCACCTTGGTGCCAAGACGGCGTATCATGGTCGCCGAGGAAGGCTGCCGCAGAGGTAGACAAAACATATGAAAGTTAATGTAAGCGGCTCCACTCTAATGTGGCCCCAAAGGATTTTCCCCCGAACACCGAACGGCAGATCTTAGCATCACGCACCAGGTGTTCACCCAACAAATGTGAGCAATAGCCGCACATCAGTTAGCAAAGACAACCAGTCTTTGATGTCTTCAGTGCGAAGTTGTCCGGTCCGTGGTCAATGCAGGAAGCTTGGCTTAATCGAAGCGTCATACGTCCTACATGCCGTGTGTGATGGTAGACAATGATAGTACATGAACGTGATGCAAAAAGTAACTTGACAAAGCAATGTCAGCAGGAGTACAAACCAGATTCCGACTTAAAGACACAAGCTTTACCAATGATATCCATCGCATAGTGAGGTACTAATTTTTATTCCACATTTGCACCGAAAAGGCTATTTCACTACAGCTGTATGCTGGAGACATGGAGATCGCGTAGTGATTCGTATACGATTGAGGATGACGGTGGAGGAATGAGAGTAACATTCAGTCGGGGCTGCAGGCCTACTGGCAGGCATCAGAGAAGAAATCACGAGCCCTAACAGACCGCGCAATGATCGCCGCTAGTGTGGAACAGCGCGTCGAGAATGGATGGTTGGCTGGGAAAAGAATGGAAGATTTAAAAGCGCTAACACCTTCTAGTCGCGATCGGTGCGACCATACAGTAGAGAATCAAGTCACACCAATAAGTGGGCGACTGAACATTATTCTCAGTAGAGATAAGTGATGAACGGCACGTGTTTGAATTAGCCAAGCCCACCTTGAAGCATGAGGGCCAACACTAGTCTAATACAACACTACTCAATATTACTAACGAGTGGATGGATTAGGGTATGATTGGATTTTGTTCGTCGCAATTAGACTCCAAGCCGCATAGGTAAGCTCATAATCCGGAGCAACCAGACGATCGTTTCTCTCTATTGGGGCTTGTCAGTGGTGCTCATTCCCTCAGTCTCCTGCTGGGGATCGAAACCATGAGCACTGGTGGCTTGCACCATGAGCAATGAGGGACGATAACCGACCATTACGGATTCAAGCCTAACTGCGATATAGCCCGATCTATCCTCCACTGCCATGCAGGTTACTGCTCGCGTAACAAACATGGGAGCGTAGAGAGAGATTCAAACTAATTGCTTACCGTATTAGGTAAGCTATGAAATAATGCGTGCCCATGAAGGTTAGTTCAGGTTCTACTGCTGTCTATTACGTCGGAGAGAAATCGAGACATAATACGGTACCAATAAGAGTAGCGAGAAGATAACTAGCGGCCGTTGGACGATTTGCAAAATGTGGAAAGCAAATTCACTAAGGGTGGTTGCCCAATGAGATCAAACTCACAGATGGGAGGTTGAAAACCTGTGTTAAAACACTTCCTCGTTGTTTCGACTCTCTTAGTCGTAGAGGACGAGGGAAGAGCAACAAACTGTATCGGTACGGCCTAAGGGATCTAGTCGTCAGACGCTGTACACGCGAACTGAGACTTGGGTGACCGAGTGCGTACTCTCGCAAGATTTCAACGAGACACAGAAAAGAAAGACTGATCGAGAGCAGGAGTTCGTTTGTAAAACACAGTAAAACGCAAATCATGCCTTGTACACTTTTTGATTCAGTAGCATAGCAGTATAGAGCATAGATTATCGAGGAAGAGGAATGTTGGCAGGGCACATGAGTAGCCACGTGGTAGCAATGCGCTGAGAAGAGTTCATTCCGTCCACAACATTGTCACTGAGGGGAAACCTAGGTGGAGTTCGTATAGTTCACATTGACACACAACAGCGGTTTCATTGAAATGAGTTTAGCTGTGAAGCTACGAAGCTCAAATTGCCGCATGGTGACAGTACAGATGAGGCGAGCTCAGACGAACTGTGTGCAACAACCGGTCTACGAACAATGACAGAAAATAGGTCGCTAAGGCGTAGACAGAGTCTATCGCATCGATTGAAAAGATCTGCCCCCAATACACAAGGTTGGATGTCTTGTGGTACATACGGACAGTTGAGCAAAAGAACAGAGACAAGTCGGAAAATTGGTTCGGAAGTACAACATGAGACGCAGTTGCATTGAAGAATTGTCAATGATACATATAGATCAAAAATGAGCTTGCTCAAGGACCGGATAACACGATAGGCTGCAGGAGTGAAATTAGGAGTAGCGAAATTTGGGGGATCGTTGATTTGAGAGGCCGAATGCAATGGGCACATACGAAAAAGTTCGCTTTGGCGACCTTGCGAAAACCACGTGTCAAGGAAGAGCGCACTCCCGCATTCGGGCATAGTACTCGTGTTTCGATGGTATAGAACTTTGAAAGCAGGGGATGCGTTAGCGTGAATACAGAGGCGAGTATAAATATGAGTGAAATGTGGTGGAACCTGCAGAGCCAACAAGTACACGGCCTATGAGGCAAGCAAGCGAATTGAGAGGAAAGAGGCAAATGAAACTGTGGAGAGGATAAGTAGCCAAGGAGAAAAATAACACAAAGGCGCACAGAATCGTGTTGGTAGTGTGTGCGTGTGTGTGCATCAAGAATGAGAATACGCCGGATAGTGATTAAAAAACCCACCAGAACATCGATCACGTGAATCATTCGACCGGGAAGCCGCACAGTGACCTATGTGTTCTGGGAATATGGCAGAATGTAACCATTAAGATACAAATAAGCAGTGAATTTCTGAGCGACGTGATACGCGCAGTAGGTGGAGTACCGCCCAGCAACCAAAATTGGAAACAAAAT